GCCACTATCCTTCGTTGCGTCCCTGTTCCCTTCTTGAGTCTATTATGGACCTGAGGCCATATTCCAAAGGAGTCATTGGTAAAATGTATTCTGTAATCAATTCTCATAACCTGGAAGCCCTAGCTCAATTAAAAAGAAAATGTGAGGTGGAATTAGACATAGAACTCTCGGAAGACATGTGGCAGTCTGTCTTAAATAATATTTATTAATCTTCAATTTGTCTAAAACATAGAGAAATTCAATTTAAAATGGTTCACAGACTGCATTGGTCCAAAGTTAAATTAGCCAAATTCAAACCAAATTTAGACCCTAACTGTGATAGGTGTGAAATTGAGCCAGCTACGCTATCTCACATGTTTTGGCTTTGTCCAAAATTAAAAGACTTCTGGCAGTTAGTATTTAAATTTCTCTCTGATACATTAAAGACTCGTATGGAGCCTGAGGCCATAATTTCATTATTTGGTATCATACCATGATCTATATATATATAAAAAATTCACATCAGAAAGTATGTATAATTGTGCAACAGGGGGAATTGTTGTGGTTAGGGATGTTATCTAAAAAATGAAAAAAGATGTCTAACTGTATTATATGTCTCATGTTTGACAAAATATTCAATAAAAACACTTTGGAACAGAAATACATTTAATGTCCGCTCCTCTCTTACATTTAGTTATTGTGTCACTTAATTGCCCTGCATATATATATATTATTTGTATAAAATACAGTGGAAATCAGATACACAGCAGATATACAGTACTGTTTTGCTACTCCCAGCTGATCCCTGACTTTATGTGTTACTTGAAGAAATAAATTAATTACGGCATGTTTCAGATAACGGCGGCACTAATGACTATGAGTGTCTACATGCTATATGTGTTTTACAGCACTGAGTTACAGAGATGCATGTGTGTGTGTGTGTGTGTGAGTGTGAGTGAGTGAGTGTGTTTACATTTAGTTATTCTGTCACTTAATTGTCCTGCATATACAGTATGTTGTTTGTTTGAAATAGAGGGGAAATCAGATATACAGCAGTATTTTATATTATATGTGATACATAACGTGACTTTTTTGTTACTCCCAGTCCCAGCTGATCCCTGACTTTGTGTTACTTGAAGAAAAAAATTAATTACAGCATGTTTTAACTAACGGCTGCATTAACGGTCATGAGTGTTTACAGGCTATATGTGTTTTACAGCACTGAGTTACAGAGATGCATGTATGAAATGTTCACCAGTGGGTGAGCAGTGATGTGTGTGTCTGTGTGTGTGTGTGTGTGTGTGTGTGTAGCTGAGGGCCTGTCAGAGGAGTCAAAGAGCAGACTGATCACAGAGCTGCTGAGCTTTTGAAGTCTCTCAGGGACTGACAGCTCTTCAACCCCATGAGAGCACGAGCACGAGCACACACACACACACACACACACACACACACACACAATGTGAACCAAGAATGATGGCATAAAGCAGCATGCAAATGAAAGCAGAGAGCGTAAATAGAGGAAATGGCACCCACTCCTGCTTCACAAACACTCTCTGTTTTACTCCATTTTTTCTCCTTCACTTCACCCACTCATTAATATTTTTTTTTTAATTCTTTTGTTTCTTTTCACTGGATGCGATATTCACCCTTTCAGAACCCTTTGGGAACAGATGGTGATAATGACATTGGAAGAAACTTCAACTTCCAGCAAAGAAGCTGCAGTGTGTAATTCAATCTGAAACGTAAGACTCTTCACATTTAGCATTAATTTGGGTGTGAAGATCCATTTAATCCAGTCAGTTATTTGTGTTAACATTCAGGTTCACTGGCAATAAATGAACCATTGTTAAAATGTTTTGTTTTCATTTGAACACATTTTGCAGACACACAAACTCTGGGTCCACTTTGTTTAAAAGAAGTCGAAACCTTTGCAAGATCTGCATCGCTGCTGCTTGACATGTTTTCAATGCACACAAACACAGCAATCCTGCAGTGATCTCTCACTTACAGTACAGCTAACCGACTACAGATTGAGCACACCTCACATGAACAAAAACAACATACTGGCAGAGCTGTGCAGAAACCGATTACACGATCAGATTCCAAAAATCCACAACTCGTAATTACAGTTTATTACAGTTTATAATGCTCATAATCAGATTACGGTTACTTTTTTATGGATTACATGATTACATATTACTCACAATATGCAGTAAATCATTCCTAATTTATTGATTCTCCCTAATTCTCCTTTTTCTCTTTTAAATTTCACAGTCCTACTGTGTGTCATACCATTTAGCTACCATTTGACTATATTCACAATGTGGAATAGTCATGTACACGTCATGTATCTAAATTTATAATTTAGCTTTTTTTTAACTCACAAACCCACTGCAGTTTTTGCATTAAGCCCAGTTTGGGAAAACCTGGTGATGCAATATAAAAAAAAAGGAATATATCTTCTTTCTCTTTGCTTTTTTATATCAGTATAGTACGTTTCATAGTAAGTTTAAAACAAGTTAGATAAAAGTAATCTAAAAGTAATCTAAAAAGTAGTCCGAATACATTACCTAAAACAAGTAACCTAGATTACGTTACTAACTAGTTTTCATTGTGTAATCTGTAATCAGTAATAGACTACAATCCACCCAGCTCTGCACACTGACATGTATCTCAAAAACGCATCGTTTACATTTCCGTTGAGAATGATAAAACAAGTCTTCCAGTGTCCGCATTTCTATTGTTCTTAACGCTTGTCCCAGCTCTCTTCCATCTGACATACGTCAAAGTTAGTGTCACTGTGTCCTCATCATAAATCCAGCATTTGAGATCAGACGCCATTAGTCACAATGAAATAGAAACTGTGAAACTGAGTAAAGGTACGAGCACACATTCTGTTTGACAAACAATCCTGCGTGTCTGGCGGTAATAGTGCGATGTAAACCGCTCTGAACAAATAGCATGGAATTTTATGGATAAAGCCCAATCTGTAATGAGCCTAATTTACATAGAAAGGGGCGTGTTTGCATGGAAACGAATGTCAGTGTTTTAATTTACATACTAAACGAGCAGTTTATGTCTGCTTACACAAGATTGTGGACGATTACTGAATGAGACACAGTGTTTATGCTGGATAACTGTTTAATAATACTTCTCCCCTCAGTGTTCAGGGTCTTTTGTGATGGAGATGAAATGTGTTGATAATGGTGTGAGGACCTTAATGATCTGCCTGCCAGTGAATGAGTGTATATGCTGCTGTCCGTCACTGACCCGTACCAGCCAGTACTGATGAGGTGAAAACAGATTTAATGATGAAAAACTACAAGAGGACCTATCTTTGGACGACTGAACTTTTCACACTGGGCTGTGTCTGAAATCACTCATTCAATACACTCGTGTGTGTGTGTGTGTGTGTGTGTGTGTGTGTGTGTGTGTGAGGGTGTGTGTGCGAGTGTGAGTGTGTGTGTGCGTGTGTGAGTGTGTGTGTGTGTGGGTGTGTGTGTGAGTGAGT